AAAAAAAAAAAAAAAAAAAAAAAAAAAAAAAAAAAAAAAAAAAAAAAAAAAAAAAAAAAAAAAAAAAAAAAAAAAAAAAAAAAAAAAAAAAAATAAAAAAAAAAAAAAAAAAAAAAAAAAAAAAAACACATTTTACCTTTTGTGCTTCTATGCGTTTACGCAGCAAAACCGGTTCTACGCTTTTACACTTTGACGCTTTTACGCTTTTATGCTATTTACGGAGCAGGAACCATTTCACGCTTTTACGGTTTTACACCGCAGGAGCAGTCGTGCTCTTTTATGCTTTTACACTTTTACGCTTTTGCCCTTGCACTCAGCAATAAGGGGCGCGAGCAGCCGGCCACGTCCCAGAGATCACTCGTGAAACCGTAAAATCCGAACACCAAATTTGACCTTTACACGTTTACGCTGGTACGCAGCAAAAACGGTCCTACGCTTTTACGGAGCAGGAACAGTTTTACGGTTTTACGGTTTTACACCGCAGGAGCAGTCTTGCGCTTTTACACCTTATCGCTCTTACCGTCGACTAAGCAATAAGGGGCGCAAGCAGCCGACCACGCCCCCGAGAGCAACGGTAGAACGGTAAAATCCGAAAAACCAACTTGACCTTTTACGCTTTAAAGCAGCAATAAGGGGCGCGAGCGGCCGGCCACACCCCGGAGAGCAGCATTAAAGCGGTAAAGGCCGAAACTCAAATTTAGCTTGGACCATTTTACGCTTTTATGCAGCAATGAAGTGGTGCAAGCTGAAGGGCACGTAAGCGTAACACGGTAAAATCCAAAAAAACAAGTTTTTGCCTTTTACGCTTTAACTTTTCTACGCCGCAACAAGCGAGCAGACCGGCTAACTCTTCCAACGTTGCTGGGCCGCCTTAGGTAGTGCTTAGAAATCTTTACGGTAACAGAAGTTTAGGCAGTAGATCTTACGGAAGCCTTCATAGAATCATTAGACGTCTGGTAGAAATTTTCGCAGAAGCGAACATACTGAATTGAGGGAATATTGAGGGCTCGTGTCACCGTTTGCCAAACTTTTTGACACTGGATGCTTCTGCGACTACGTCCCACAAGCAGCAGAGTCTTGGTACCAGAAACTGCGCATTCTGTTGTTCCAAGCTTTTATGTGTAGGGACAGTTTTGCTTGGGCATGGATGCTCTGGTCACCCTTTGCACTGGGGACGTCATGATGGTTTGCGCATGGATGCTCTGATAAGCGCACTCACTAGACGATGAACGTTTTTTATGGCTTGGGTAGGGATGCTGTGGTGTTCATATGCACTTGGAATTGGAAAGATATTATGGGGTTTGGGTATGCATGCTCTTGTAATCGCACTCACTGAACGATGATCGTCGAATGATCGTTGTTGCATGCACTTGTAACACAAGTGTCATTATGGTTCGGTCCTGGATGCTCCGGGTAACAGCACTGACTTAGCTATTCATAACCATTGGCGTTATTGTGGAACCATAAGCTATCCTGTGAATATTAGACAACGTACACTCAGTTGATAGCATCCCTTGACAATTTTAAAAGGGCTGAGAACGTTGACCAAGATGTCCACTGGGTGGGGCAAACAGTGGCGATGGACTCTGAACTTAGCGTGAATACCAGCTTTGAAGGAAGGGTCCATGGCAGCATTTATACGGGCGTTAATGGAAGCTTTGATTGTTTTGTCTTGATGCCAGTTTGAATAGAAGCTTTGCTGGGGTTTTTCATGGAAAGTATATGCTGTGAGGCTTTCCAGTAGGAGCTTTGGTAGAACCATTTTCCGAAGCTTCATAAAGACTTAAGCGCTTGAGTAGTAGAAGCTTTAGTAGGAGCCTCAAGATAAGCTTCAGTAGCAGCCACGAAGCGAGATCATCAGGAGCTTTCAGAGAAGGTCTGATGTATTGGACACTTCAATAGATACATGTGGCCTCTATAGTCAGACGGAGTTCTGAGAACCTGTTGAACAGGAGCTTTTCTAGCAGGTTGAGTGGCAGCTTGAACGACAGCTCACATGGAGAGACTTTGCTGGGTACTGGAAGCTTTCATGCGACATGGAAGCTTTCATCTCGAAATGCCACTAGAAGCTTTTGATAGAAGCTCCAGCTAACGGAAGCTCTAGTTGGAGCTCCAGTGGAAGCTTCCATGGAAGACTTAGTCGAGGCTTTAACAGTCATTCACGCAGAGCAGAGTGCTGAATGGGATCTCTTAGGCATTCTTCCATACTTTGAGCTGAAGTTGTACGGAAGTTCTAATGATTTGCAAGTCTCAAGAGAAGCTGTAATAAAAGCTTAGATGCCACTTGGCAGATGATTGCAACGATGAAGATGATGCAGATCGCAGCAGAGAGAAGGTGTAGAGTATGATGATGATGATGATGATGATGGTGATGGTGATGGTGATGATGATGATCATCATCATCATACTGGACCGTTGCCGTCACTAACTATCGCTTAGAGGACCTGTTTGCCTAGAGCTCCAGGAGTGCAAGGTCCAAGAGATCATGGGTTTTTGTTGGCTTACCAGTTACCATCGTTAGCACACATGTCTATGACGACTGGAACCCTCCAACCTGCACAATCCCTGAAAACTAAGAGAATATCGAAAGAACAAAAAGGCTAGAAACCATTCAAGGCGTGGAGGCCAGTGAAAACCTTGGAGCCCATGGAAAGACACATTGACAAAAAGCGTGGAAAACATGGGACCACGGGCGGAAGTCTTGGAAAGCGTGTGCCACTTTCAATCTGTATAAGGCCTGCCGCTCATGGAGGCCGTTGGTGGACACTGCGTAAAACATGCAAGTCATGGAAAGCTGCTGGGGGCAGCAGCCCTTGACTCGTTTGAAACTGGCTCCTTCAGTAGCCTTTCAAGTCTACACACAGCATTCTGATCGGAGGAAATGCAAAAAGAGACAAACCACAGTGAGAATCCTTGTCTTGGAAACTGGTGGAAGCACCAGATTGGCCTGCTTGCTGTGCTGTGAAATATGCTGGCCCGAGGCTTGTGCTCCCCAGCGAAACGCCTGTAAAGGATTGGGCCTGGTGTTCCAGAAAGGATTGGCCTTGAATTTGCTAGTTCAGTCTTGTTTAGGAGTTGTTCGCTGGCACAGACTCTCTCAGCTTAGTTGTGAAACGACAGGAGCTGGAACAGCACCTTCACGAGAGTGAGTGGCCAGGAGCTCATTTCGGTCAGCGCGGCTTCTGTTGTATAAGCAATGCCACTTGCGCAGTATTGTCACAGATGCTGCCCCTTCGCACCTCAAGCTTTGGCTCAGCGCTGGCTAGTTTGCATGAGACAGGACGTCCAAGAAGTGCCGTGAGCTGCATACCTTGCATATGACTTAAACAAAGGAGCAGAATTCCGAATGACATGAATGACATGCCAGTAGGCCGAGTAGGCCCAGTAGGCAGATGGCATGGCTCTGTGCGGGCTGTTTTCGAGGCCTATGGCCGAGGATGCCGAGGACAACTCCTGCGATTCTTGGGGACGACTGCCCTGATTGCATTCTGGTCAATGTCCCCGGACGCCGGGTCCAGGAAGCCTTTAAAGTCAAGAAGAAGACTTTGGGAAAGGGCGGCTTTAGCACTGTAAAGCGTTTGATCAATAGAAGGACAGGTGCTGTCTGCGTCATGAAAGAAGTCAACAAAAGCTCCGTTAACGACATGCAGCTCTTGCGAGAGGAGGTGAAGCTTCAGGCCTCTATGGACCACCCTCACATAGCGCGGCTTTTTGAAACTTTTGAGGACCAATATCATTTGGACATCGTGATGGAACTCTGCGAAGGAGGAGACGTCTTGCATTTGATCGAGAAATCCGGCTGTTTGCCACAGGGCCAAGCCCAAGACATTTTCCGACAGCTGATGTGCGCGCTAAGCTACATGCACCACAGCCACGTTGTGCACCGAGATATTAAACCGGAGAATCTGGTTTTGAAAGAGCGTCAGACAGCCGGCGAGAGGCTGACCATCAAGCTGATCGACTTTGGCTTTGCCCGCAAGTTTGAAGACGGAGTTCGATTGAAATCAATCTGTGGCACGCCTCTGTATGTTGCTCCCGAGGTGTTTAGTGCTAGCTATTCCGAAAAGTGTGACATTTGGAGTAGCGGTGTCACCCTACATTATATGATTGTTGGGAGGCCCCCTTTTGAAGGAGAAGATGTTGATGTGATTTTGCGGAAGGCTCGAAAGGGTGTGCATCTGTCAGACACGGTGAGCCGACTAGGAGAGTCAATACCCCCGGCTGCGAGTCAGCTCCTTGTAGAAATGTGCGAGCTTTCGGAATACAAGCGCCCTTCGGCGCACATGATTCTCTTACAGAGCTCGTGGCTTCAAGGAGAGGTTGTCAGTGGGGAAGCCACTGAAACATCAGACGAGATTGCAAGCAACCTGCGCAGGTATAGTGTTATGAACCCGTTGAAGAAAGCTGCATTAAACACACTCGTGCATGTTATCGATGACTCCGACTTGCAGCGCCCGCGTGAGACTTTCGAGAGCTTGGACACGCGAGGCGAAGGAAGCATTCCCTTGGACACGCTGCGAAAAGCCATTTCGGAATCAGCCCTTGGACAGGACGCAGACAGCATATGCAGTAGCTTGGATGCGGGTGGTGTCAACCAGATGGACTACAGTAACTGGCTGTCCGCAAATGTTAAGCCACAGCAATATTTGAAGCAAGGATACATCTGGGAGGCCTTTCGCATTCTCGACAAGGATAGCAGTGGCAAGATATCTGCGCCCGAGCTGCAGCAGGTCTTGGCGAGAGCTGCCCCGCAGCTGGACGAGGCCGAGTGTGAAGATTTGCTTGCTCAGTTTGACAAGAGCCTTGGCCAAAAAATCTTATGTTTTTGGCTGCATTTTGCTTTGACTCAGCTGTTCCAGACTACTTCTACTTGAGACTGTGCCAGGAACGGTGATGGCGAGATGGACTTCGAAGAGTTCCAAGACATGCTGCGGGCATCCTCCTCATCTCACGATGATACTGCGCGAATGGCCTCCAGACGGTCCTTTCGTTTGAAGACCATTCCGTAAGGCTTCGTCACCTTGTCCATGCAAAGGAGTTTGCTCCGGCACCTGCAGCCTTCCGAAGTCCTGGGGCCTGGGGTCAAGCCGCTTCTGCCGAGTGTTTCAAAAGCCGAGCCGGCTCGCAAAGCGATCGGATCGATCGGTTGTCCACACTACGCAACTGCGCTGAGCAGCTTCATGGGCACGGAATTACATTCGGGGCTTCGGGGCTTCACAAGCATGCTCCCACGTACAGATGCAGGCCAAAGGCTTTGCAGAATAAGGCACTCCGAAGCCAGTCGAGCTCGAAAACTTGGAGGGTTTTTGTGGACCGGTTCTGGTCATAGCAGGAATCGTTCTGAAGACTTTCTGCACGCAGTTTTGAGACTAGATTAGATCAAAGAGTTGCAGTTCTGATACGAGTTGCCACTCTCTCTCTCTCTCTCTCTCTGAAGCAATTGGGATATCCGCCCTGTGGATTTGCAATGGGTTTGTTCGTATGGCATCGTATATGGCATTCTATGGCATTCTTATGATTTGGACAGGGTCTTTGTGGTCATCCTTCTTGTTGCTGGAAGTTGGTCGCTTGGACGCATTAACCTCCGCGTGCTCAGCTCTCTGACGTGACACATCCTACCTTGCCCAAGCTTGCTTCACGGCTTCCTGCTTTTGCCCCAGCTCTAAGCAGGAACAACAATCACGAAAGCTCCTCGTTAGGGGGCTTCGTTTAGTACCTCACAAAGTGCGCCCGGGATCCTAGGGGGAGTGTGGGGTGGGGGGGGGGTGGTGGAGAATTTTGCCCGTTGGCTCGGATGGCCTTTTGGGGTAGTTGGGGATTGTCTCGGGGGGATCTTGGGGTGATCTTGGGGGATCTTGGGGGTCTTGGAGGGATCTTGGAAATTTGCTTTTTCAGGAGGCTTTTGGTAGGAGGGTTGCAGTTCTTTTCATGGGCAGTGAAGGCTGGGCTGTGTGCTCCTCTGGTTGTATATCGTCTGTCTCTTCACGTCCTGTGTCACCTCCTGTCCACTATTCAGCTTTCGTCCCGGCCTGTGGCTCTCAAGTAGCGCGGCAAGCCCCTTTTGACCTGCACATCGACCCCTGACCTTTCGAAGATCCGTCCGCTGATATCTGAGACTTTGTGCCCGTCAACGCTCCTTCACTCGCCCTGCTCCGCATGCCAGCACATCCACATCTGTCCTGACTGGGCAGTCGGACATTAGCACCACCATTTTACCCTAGGGAGATTGTCTATGCTGACGCCTAGCTTTTTTGTTGCATGTCCTTTCCTTGGAATCACTGCATGGCAGCTGCCGCAAGGTAGTTTCCAGGCAGGTGGTGCTGCCTCTTCCACTCAGGTGGCCCCCACTTGAGCAGCGGTTTTTTTTACGCTT